TTTGGGGGATATATAAATATTTAGCTGCCAGGAAATTTCAATTAAACAACTTTTGATAAAAAGAGGTACCTCATTCCTTTCCTCTTTATATCATTGATAAACTTTTATCAGTCCTGAAAACAAGAAATATCAAATAAAATGTAATGCTTTAGAAAAGAGACATACTCAATATGTTGTTCTTATTTCCATGGACAGTGTTGACAAGCAGGGTGTCACAGAGTGAGAAGAATTCAAGTTAAGACTTGTACAAATTCACTAAGTGTTCTTTTTCCTCACATATAATAGTAGGTAATATTTATTTTGTATGTTTACGTGAAGATTAGGCAAGGCAACAAATCCAGAGCCACATATGTGCTAAATATTAAATTTTCTCATTTATTTTTGTTATTAATACTTGCCCAAGTGTATTCTACATGTCAGTACTGGACTGACCACTCTGAGTGCTGTTTGAAGGGAAGAGAGCAACAAAAACATTACTGACAATGTGCATGATGCATGATGGTACAATGTTCATGACCTATACATTCTTACTAACAGTAGTGAGGCACCACCCAAGACTCAAAATATGAATCTACTCAGAAAATCCCATATAAGTAAGATACATTTTTATTAGTGACTGCTTCTTAGTTAAGAGGGAAAAAACTCTTTGTATATTGAAGTATACTGAAACCAACATATATTTCATCAAATGATGGAAGTTTAACTGTAGTTCAAATTACAAAAGGGAACATTGGTAAGAAAATTGGAAATGGAAGCTACACAAAAAAAGAATGACATTAATAAAGAAATAATTGAAGGAATTTGTTGCTTGTCATCTATAAAAAAGCATTACTTCTAGTGCAGTTAAAACTGTAATCAATCATACATGCCTAGATATTCTCTAGGGAAAGATGGAGAAATTATAGTGAGTAGTGTGCTAACTGACCTAGAGAATAGTGAACTATATCTTAGAGTTTTGAAATGTGATCCAGAGAAGCATATTATATCACCATTGATGATGAAATTTGCATTCTCAGAAGGCCTCGATCATAGTGACAAATAAAGTATGTCTTTGTTAAAGTTGTGGAGCATTAGTGTAGTCTCTTTTGTCTTATTAGAAAAGTTTGAGAATTAAAGAAAAAACCATACTGGTTGATGCCTATATGAATGGACACAAAGGGTCAAATCCTTAAAAGAATATATTCTTCATCAGAAATTTCAAATGAAGTTAATAAATATGTCCCATTATAACTTATGATTAAAGTTTTCCTGTAGAAAATAGTTTTCTAAAGCACCAGAATTTTCAGGAAGGTATAAAAGATTATCTTGGTTTAAATAAAGCAGAACTTAATAGCATAATCATAAAATACTGTTTCATATTTATAATTTGACAACCTGACAGTTTTTTGAAAAGATTAAAATAATCACCCAACTAATTTATTAAATGTCATAATATGCTTTAATATGCTTTAACTTTGTCATCTGTTTATAATTCTCATAAGTCTGATAGTGTATAATTGGTAAATATGCTTTCAGATAAAGTGAAATACTCCTAACTAGAAGAGAAACAATAAGTATATTTTAGTTATTTCATTGTATAAGAAGGAAAGTAAATCATACTTTAAGAAAACTGTGATTTTAGAAAATGTTTACTTAGACAATTACAATTAATATTAGAACTTCACCATTTTAAATGTTTCTGGTAATGTTTGAATTATAGGGGTGTATCTAACCTTTTAGGACTAAAGTTGTTCCTTTTGATTGTGCAACAAAGGCTTTATAGCAGGCTTGTTGCCTTACCTGAAATTTTATCAATCCTTGATGAGAGAAGAATGAATTTCCAATGCTCATTCGGAGTTTTTAAGGTTTTTTTGATTCTCTACTTGTTTGAGGAAGACCCTTTTAGAGTCTACTGTAATTAGCTTATGCTTTGTGGGGCTTTGTCCTTCTCCAAGCCACATCTAAAAGAAACCCTCTAGATACTAGGCTTTTTGATGAGGTAGAACTTTCCTAGGGTCATAAGCTACTTGTGCCCACATATCTTTCCAACTCTAGGTTTTGTTACTTGTTATATCTGTGTATAGTTATGTTTCTCCAGAATATTTACTGTTGTTACTTAGAATCTAGATATGTTATACTTCAAAATTTCTGCATAGCTAAGCCTAAACATGTTGTCTCTACATTTAATTAATAATGAGACTAAACTATCTAATAATAGACAATGTTGAAATTTTCACTAAAAATTGAAAGAACAAATATGCTCCTCTTCTAAGAAGCTATATCAAAATCACCTGTAACTCATTCTTGGCCTTATTTATATTTTGGGGTTTGGGAAAGAGGGGGCTATTTGGAATTCCTCTTCCTTAGCTACAAATCCCAGATCAATAGTCTGATACGTAATTAGAATTCATAGGCTGTTAGAAAAGCCTCCCACGAGGTGTATGTATGTGCTTCCTGTATCCCTTTCCAAATAACATTTTCCAGAGTTGCTTTTTGTTCAATATGTTTACTTAAATGTGAATTCGTATTCATATTTACAAAGTTGGATGCTCAAATCTTACAATAATTGAAGCTGGAAAATGCCTTTTGGGAGGTGGTAAATGATTTCTAAATTTCAGGGCTGAAGAGGGAGTTTAGTCTGGGGATTAAACTTCTTTTATTATGGGAGGGGCCAGTTTTAATCAAGCAGATTCATTTAAAAGTATTTAAAAGTATCATCTTGTTTTTTGGGTCTTGGGAGAGAGTGAATTATTTGGAATTCCCCTTTCTCAGCTACAAATCCCAGGTCACAAGAAACCAATTTAAAAAACCAGAATACCTCAAATTAATAACTGGAAAATTTCAGTGACCAAGCACCATGTAATGATATTAATAACAACAATATAGTTAACTTACATTTTTGGAGAAGGATTTACTTTACATATTTTTTCCTTGAGATAGGGATCTTGCTGTGTTGCTTAAGCTGGCCTCAAACTCCTGGGCTCAATTGATCCTGCTGTTTCAGTAGCTTCCCAAGAAGCTGGGATTATAGTTATGGACCACTGCACTTGACACATTGTTCTTTACATTTCTTTTCTTGTACATAAATACAAAAATGCATGCGTGCAAAATATCTTGCATTTTTTCATCAAATCCTCCAAAAAACCTAAAAAGACAGAAGCCTTAATAACTTTCATTGTACAGATATCACTAAGTTCACTAACTTACTCCAGGGGTGGAGGGGGAATTTGAATCCAGATCATTAAATTGCAGGTACAACTTGTTTAGCCTCTGTTCCAGAGGACCACAATTCACCTGTGCTCTCACAGCAGTTCACAGCTAGTTCCCTTGAATTAGAAATACTGAAATAATCTCGGATTTAAGTTACATTGCAAGAGAAAATGCTTCCCACTTTGTTTTGTATTCATCATGTTTATAGTCACTAAGTATTTACAATGTTTATAAGTGGAGAAACATTTAAATGCAACGTTATATACTTTGAAAGCATAATGTATTTTTGTTACTTGATGTAAAATTCATCACAGAAGTCATTTCTCTCTCAAGAAATGTCTGAGTACATTAGCTTAGAAGATGATATTAGTGAGCTGATCATATGTATATTTTAAATGGAATGTTCAACTGTACTTAATGTGCATTTGTGAGAAATACATATTTGTGGTGTCTGTAAGGAGCTTAGCTTGCTTATCATTCTTTTCCTAACTAGTGGAGTATTTCTTCTTTACATGCTGTTACCTGATATGAGAAGGCAAAAGGGGACTGTTTTATAAGTGAGAGTTTAAATATGTAAACATTGTGGGGTAACTGAACATAGAATTTACTTTTATAAGATGTAGACCTTTGTTGCAAATGAGATATTTTACTAAAGAGAGAAAAGTTACAATTTTTTATGCTACTCTGCCTGGATGACACAGTGCAAACTTTAGCCATGATTGAAAAGTTCATAAGCAGTAAGGGATATCATCTTATTCTTCAGATATTAACAGTAAACATTGTTAAAAGGTTTGTGTAGCTACCAGGCTGACTTGGAAAGGGTTTATTATACAGCAGAAGTTAATGCAGCTTTCATAATTAAGGGGAAAAGTGGGAAAATAAATAGAGAAAGGCCAAAAGGGGAAGCTGAGTATGATGCAGTACAGGAGAAGACTTTGAAATTAAATAGGAGGGCCCTGATTGAAATTTATGTGGGAAATCAGAGAAAACTGCTGGTGATATGACATCACTGCCTATAAAAATGTGGATATTGAAAGTTCCTTCTTCATTAAGAACTCAATAAGTGATGTCTGCAGCCCAGGTGCAAAAGGTGCAAGAGTCCGGAAACACTGGACAGAATGTGAGTCAATGCCAATTACGGTGTCCCCTGCTATTATAAGGAAGAAGAACCCATAGTACATACTATAGTACATATTTTGCTAAATAGAAAGGGCAACTTTTCAACAGAGTATTTAAATCTTATTCTTGTTAATACTTAGCAGCTATCAATTAGAAAGACAGATCTAGAACTAGATTGGTTTAATAAGGCAATCACCAAGAACCTTAGGGAGCAGGCTGGGGAGCATACTGTTTCTAGATGTATAGAGCCTGTTACAGGAGAAAGTGAAGAGTTTGAGGCATATTCTAGAGTAGTATCTTAGAAAGGTAAAGTAGGTTTTCTCAATGTTCTGGACACTGAAACAGCTGTTTGAAACAGAGTTTCTAGAAGACAAGACCAGGAACTTGAATTCAGTTTTTAAAAAAATCCCTTTCCAAGTGATTAATATACCCATTAACTAAATATCATCTTGTTAAAGAACTGTTAAGTTAAAATGATCCTTACAGAATAGAATTATTAATGTGGTAGTATATGTGTTTCAAAAAAGAAATGAAAAATTCAGGGAAGAAAGAGAATAAAAAATATCTTCTTTCCCTTGGACCTAGATAGGATTTTTGTTTGGATAAAAAATGACTCATTTCCCTTGGACCTAGATAGGGGTTTTATTTGTTTATTTTTCTTTTTAATTAATGGTAACTTAGGACATCTTGAAGAGGTCTCATCACTACTGAGTCAGGAAAGAAGGCCCAGGAACTGCAGATGGAAGAGGTCCTGTCGATGGTGGAAGCTTGTGAGTGCTGGTGATAACTTCACCTCAGAAGGTAACAAAGAGATGAGACAGTAGCTCTAATCTGCAGGACCTTCATTCTTTGACTTGTATTTCTAAAACTGTGAAAGGCACTGGTGAATCTCTTACATTAACTGAGTTACATTAAGTGAGTTACATCTTTTCTGCTGAAGCAAGCAGGAATGCTTTATATATCTGACTGTAGATATTGTCTGAAAGAAAATTGAAGGATCATTTTGGGGTAGTAGAGAAAAAAGTACCAGTGACAATTTCAACTCTTACGGTTAGTGACTCTGATACATGAAGAGAATACAAGGGTCAATAAACAGGAGAATATGTAGATGGCATTGAATGAATAGCATGAGCCCCTGGTAAGGGCTCAGGAAGTAGTTGGTAAAAACTATGAGAAGTATGTTTGGAAGAATTACAAGACCATATCTCTTGCTTTTAATTTGAAATTGATGGATGAGAAGAAAAATTAATAAAACTGCCATATAAGATTATAAATACAGGACTGAAAATAAGAGTTAAATAAAGAATGTAGGAGGAAAATTTTTCCATAATTTTTACATGGATATATTATAGGGCATAATACTTCAAGTTTCAGGTATTTGTGTATTAAAAATACCCAATTTCAGTGACTACCAAAGTATATGGAAATTTTTATCTATGAATGCAAAATGTTGTAATAGGCATAGCCAAGACTTCATTTCTGATTCAACTAATGTACTATGGCATCAGAAGGGGATAATTTGATCAACGATCTTAAATCTAATTAAATCAGAGGGAATGTAGTTGTGTAGGACATGGTCAAGTGACTCCTGATATGGATTACAAAATTGGTATGGTGCTAGGCCATAAATAAGAATTGACCTAACTTAACAAGTCTCATAAATATTATTTTCTCAAAGCACTGTCTTTAAAATAAATTTTTTTGTTTTTCTCTGATATAGTCATTATTAATATTTTATAGCAGTTTATTCCAGCATTATTTTTTATATTGAGATTTAATGGTAATATGAGTTTTATGTTGCATATTTCATTAATACTATATAACAAGCATCCTACCATATCATTAGGATTTTTAACAAATTATATTTTAATGTTTGCTTAATATTATAGATGAACCAATAATGCAATTCATCATGTGTTGTTATAAGTTTACATTCTTTTGATTTCTTTCTATCACAAGGCTGCAGAAAAGAGGTTGTATTAGAACAGAATTCTGGGAAAAGTAATTATGGAGTCAAAACACATAAATACTTTTCAGTTTCTGGAAATAATTTGTACAATTATTTTCCAGAAATATTGTTTCACTGACAGTCTCATCAAAGGTGTGTAAATGTGTTCACCTCTGTATTTTCCTGTGCACCACATTTATAATAATAATAATAAATTTTTTTTACTAAATTGAAAGGGAAAATAATATATGACTGTATTTTTAATGAATATCCTTTGATTCTGTTGAGGTTGAAATTTTTTATTTTATTTTATTTCTTTGTTCATATATGGTATGGTGTACTTGTAAACTGGTTCTTGTACCTATTCTACTGACTTCCATATCTATTGGTTTACAATAAAAATGATTGCTACTTTTTAAATTTCCAAAGTCTTCTTGTGGACAAATACATATTGACTTTCATAAATGCTCTACATAAGTACAAAATATTTTATTATTTGTTTTAGAGGGGGTATGTCTATTATATTTTTATCATATTTTTGCAGTAAACTCCTCTATGGTCATTTTATTTTTAATTTATTAGAGTTGTTTAATTCTAAATAAAGCATATTGAAGACTCCAGCTACATTTTTATCTGGTTCTCATGGAATTCCTTGAACATTTGTGTTTTCTCCTTAGATTCTATTAGTAAGTTACATACAGGTTTATTACTGTTATTGTCTTTAAAATATTTCCTTTCATCATTACAATATTTTCCTAAATAGCTTATCTTATTTCAAGTGCTTACATTATATATATCCAAATGGTTTGGCATCATTTGTTACAACTCTGTATAAATTGTAATGTTCATTGCTAACCACTGTGTTAGCACTTATTTTCTTCTGTTATGAGATCTTGGATCTGCCCATTATGTGCTAGGTTAAGAACATAGGTATGTATTTTCTTAATACCTTTTACCTGGGTCACTCTCTCACTTCTTACACATTCTCAAATACTTATTTATACTCTGACAGAGCAATGATGTCTTAACTGGGTATGGGACTGCTAATCCTTTCTTAGTGGTGCCTTCACCATTTTTATAGCTTTTAGGGTGGCCTAAGTGATACTATAAGTGTCAGCTATGATACATCTTTGAAGTCACATCCTCTCTCTACAAATACCTGTCAGTCTTCCTCTTAATTCTGAAACATAACACATTTTGTCATACTTTGCTGACTGTCTTTTATCACTAATCAGTTCTGAGACCTGCAGACTCAATCTGTATTTAACACAGATTTTTTGTCTTCTGTTCTTTATTTATTGCCCATCTTCTATTTGTTATTCTTTCTTTTCAGAATGATAGTAGCCACATTTCAGGTTTCTTGACTCTATCCTTTAAGTCTTTTAAATTTTCTAAGATGATTTTATCATTTCACATTTTGTGATATTCCACTTTCTGTTTTTGACTCTACTTCTGGGCTGAATCTACTAAATTGTAGAGAAGTTCATTCTTTCCTTGTTATGCAGCACGAACTCTTTAGTATTATTGTTATTTTGTTCATGTTGCAGTTTTTCTCCTTGTAGTAGGCAGAATTCTAAGATGGGCCCCAAGAGTCTCTCCCTGTGTGTATTATATACTCACCATAATTCTCCTGCAACAAGTATGGGTGGAACATGAACAGTGAAGCAGCCATCCAGTTATTAGGTCATGATATTAGAGAAGACTGATGAAATAGCAATCCTCACGATTATGTTACATTATTCTTATGCTAGCCTTGAAGAAGTAAGCTGCTATTTATTGATAGTCTATGTAGCTAAGGAATTGAGGTAGCCTCTAATAGCTAGGACTGACCCCAGCCAGGAGCCAACAAGAAAATAAGGATCTGTCATAAAATTTCAAGGAAATAAATTCTGACAACAACTCAAATGTGCTGAGTAGAGGACTCTGAGAAACTGCATCTCTGGTTGATACCTTGACTTCAGACAAGAGAGATGCTGAGCAAAGAATCCCTAAGCTGTGTGCAGGCTCCCACAAGGCAATTCATTTCTTAACTGCTAATGGTCTGGGAATTTGCTATGTACAAAGAGGAGGTGAGGACATCTCTCCAGCAGTTAGGTGAAATGTTTGGATTTTGTCCTTAGTATTTTTTCATGGATAGGGCACCTTAGCTGGGATATGGGTTCCCTTTGTCCCTACATCTTTACACTGGTTGTCAGAGGAGCTCAGAAATGAATGGATGGCAGAATAGGCAGGCTTCCTGTCTCCATCAAGGTACCAGAGGTGCCTGCTTCTCAGGGTTCTCTCAATTTTTCCAGCCTTTGGATGGAGAGGATTCAATTTTTTGACCTGATGGAGAAGACTAGTCAGAAACTCATAGGGTTGGTGGCCACTACTTCCCAGAGGGCCTGCAGATCTCTGAAGGCCACTATCTTTTCAATATCTAAGATATTCTGATTGTCATGCAAATATTTGATGGTACTGTCCAAGCCTCCATCAGTTCCTGAGGAACAAAACTCCGCTTGTTTTATATAAAGACCAGAATCTTGTTGATTGATTTTCTTTACAACTGTTTGTCTAATGAAGGGAAGATTAAGTTTCCTCTTCCAAAACCCCTTCTCTATGGTCCTATACAAAAGGAAAAATACTTTTTTCCTCTACCTTTCTAAGTTCTCAGCAGGGACCCCAATGAAATACAGATTAACAAGAGGAAAAAAAACAGGTTTATTAACATGTATAAATCACATACACATGGAAGAAAACTCAGGAAGTAATAATTCTCAAAGAGGTGGCTTAGAACTCCAGCTTTGTATCATCTTCCACAAAAATAATAATTTTTTAGAGAAATGACAAGATAGGGGAACAGGAGCCTGAGTTTCTAGGGATGGAAAATTGTGGGAAGGCAAATTTTTGAGAAAATAGTGGTAATGGCTAACTAATAAAGTTTTTTATGTAGATTCCTCTCATGCTGTCTTCAGGCTGATTAGGGTCTAAAATTTGGGGACCAAATTTGCCCTTTCTGGTAGAGAAGGGAGGAGAGATGCATTTATAAATTTATGTTCTGCTTTCTGGCAAATAGGGGGAGAGCAGAGATTGTATCTACTTCGTTTTATTTACTTCAAGCTGAAAATAATCTTCATACCAAAGTGGCATATTTTGGGGTGACATGTTACTTTCATTTAAAAAATAAAATCTTAATTTTTTGCAAAGTATTGATATTGATTTTTTAAAAAGAATACCATACATATATTTACATTTGCCTAAGAATATGGATTCTGGGATCTGATTTCCCAAATTCCTCTACTTTTGATGTGACCTTATAAGTGCTATGAATTTGGATGCGTTGCCTTCAAAATTCAAGTTTTGTCAATGGATGTTATTAAGAGGTGGGGCCTTAAGATGTGATGAGGTCATGAGACCTTTTATGCATTAATGGGGTTAAGGTCTTTATAAAAGGCTGTATGCAGCTGCTGGCTAGCTGGCTAGCTTGTTCTTTCTCTCTTCTGTCATGTAAAGACACAGCTTTCCTTCCTTCTGGAGGATGCAGCCTTCACCAGACAACTGAACTTGAGCTTGCCAGAGCCTCTATCTTTGACTTCACAGTCTCCAAAGCTCTAAGAAAATTAGGTGTAGCCACAAAAACGAACTAAGTAAGTTACATCATCTTTTAGTTCTTCATTTACATGATTCAGTGACTTTGCAGATTGTTATGTCCAAGCGCTCATCAGCTCTCATGAGCTCAACAAATATTGTCATTACTATAAATCATACACTGAAAGATACTACAGAAAGATGAATTAAGCATTAAACCATTAGTTAATTATTGTATTTGTTAACTTCAAACATTGTGCTCAATGACGAACTATTATGTTTTAGG